TCCGTCTTTCTTTAAAGCTACCTGTCTCTCTTTTTTATTTAGCTACAATCTTTCTTTTCTATCTATTCACAGAGCCAGGCTATGCGTATTGTGAGGACCATTGGCCAAGCATTCGAAGTGTGTCACAAACTGGGTGGTCAGTCCAGGCCAGCTTCAGAGCTCAAGGAAGACACCAGTGACCGGTCCTCGGAGGACAACGAAAGACGTGTGGCTAATAGTGAGTCTGTAACGACCGACAGTATGTCTTAGACCTTTTTATTCGAAGTGTTTAAAATAGCAATGTCTATGACCTTTATATCATTGTTAGTTTTACAAGGATGGCTAATAGTAAGCCTGCAATGTCCGACACTATGTCATAACCCTTTTTTATACTGTCGTCATCATCATCATTGCCTTTCTCACCATGTACCAAGGTATAGGCCACGGACAAACACCTTCCACTTTACTCTATCCTGGGCTAGCCTCTTGATGTTATTCCATAATTATCTTCCCACTTTTCTGTACATCGATTTCTGTGATTCTTCCCCAGTTTTTATATTGTAAGTGTTTTAAAAGTGAAAAGTTACGTCCAAAATATAATGTTCATGACCTTTATTTTACTGTAAATTGTACAAAGGTGGTCAACAAGTCTGCAACTTCTGACAATATGTCATAACCCTTTGTAATGTAAGTATTTACAATAAAGGCCAATGATATCATTGATAATGTCCACAGCCTATTTTATAATACAATTTTACAAGGGTGGCCAATAGTTTAAGCGGTGTGAGTGATGTAGCGGTTAGGCTACCTGGTTCGTAATAGCGAAATTACTGGTTCAGGGGTTCGAGCTGCTAGCTCGACTTTGGATCCTTGGGAATGGCGCTTTACACAAATTTTCCTCTCTTCACCCAGGTGAGAATGGGTATCCGGCTATAGACAGAAAAAGATCTTGTCAGTATGTTAGTGTTTTAGCGTCTATATGGCAGCGTGCATTGTATGCTTCCCACGAAGTTAAGATAGTTTCGTAGTGCTCTCAGGTCTACTCGGGTAATAGAATAGATTGTATAGTGTATAGACTTTCCTGTTGAGTGGAAATTTGAGCTAAACAAGTGCTATCTATTAAGTCTATTAAGGCATTGGCCTGACAATATGTCATAAACCTTTGTTATTGCAACTGTTTAAAAAAAAAGGCGTGGCCAATAACGTCCAAAGTATATTGTCTACAACTCTTATTTTTAATTGTAAATGTTACAAAGTGGGGGTGACGCATTAGTCAGTGTTTTTATACCCTTTCTCTACCCCTCCTACTGTCTTTTGGTTTCGGAGGCTGGCTGCTTCTTCTAATGCCTATCATGACCAACCTGGGCTGAGTGGAAAACTTGTACCAGTAGACAGTCGAAGACACTCACTGATAAGGAAAAAAAAAAACTGTAGAATCATTTGCCTTACTTTTTATCCCTGCACCCAAAGGCTGTAAAATTGTTGATGCACTTTTCATTACTCAAAGAAAATATACAATTATTATTGGGCTATTATAAAGAGCCCAGTTTCAGCTCTTTCAACTTTGGTGAACAGGATGAAGTACGAGGTCGCCCAAAATTGTAAGGAAAAGTAACTCCGTAAAGTTTTATTCTTTTGGTCTTTTTTCATGATTACGTCCCTTACTGAAAAAACTGATGAGAAAAGTAAACTTGAGCCCATCCCCATTCAACTTACTTGATCTATTAAGCACGTCATCCTCAGTTTCTGCTCTCCGTGGGGCTGCCATATTAAGGTCCCTTTGATTTCATAAGGGAAAGACGTAAAGACGTGTTTGCCTAATTTTATTAAAGGTTGTTTTTGTTGTTTGGTTGTTGGTTGTTTTTAGAGGGTTTTTTAGTGGGGTTTGGTTTTTTTGGGGGGAGGGGGTGTTAAGTTCTTTGTTGGTTTTTGTTTTTGTTTTGTTTTTGTTTGAGTTTTTGGGGGATTTTTTTTGGGAGGGTGGGGGGCTGATGAGGGATATACTTTTAGCCATTCCAAAACACTGCCTCCCTTAACATACATTTTTTCTGTGTGGTGTCGTATGAGGTTAACTGAGTACTCGTTTTGACTTAGTCCGCAGCTAGTGTAACCTATTTAGTACCCCCGGGGTTGCATTCTTCTCATTATACAAAAACTTCTAGTACGAAGATCTCTTTGAAACTTTTAGTATTTTTCAAAAAATCATTTTGATAGACTGCTATGCAAAGCGTACGGGTCGGATTAACGAGTAAATTTCCTCTTTGGAAAGTGGTAGCACGGAGAATAACACGTCGTATGGGTACCATAGTAAAACACGACGTACGGATGGGTTAAGAGGTGATATCTCATAGGTCAAAGCCTACCCATAGATGAGAAAAACAAGTTAGTAAAGAGTCTAGAAAATCATCCATAAGCCAAATCCGGGGATGCAAACCAGATTCGTTGGCGCAATACCAGCGAAACATATTATTAACTAAACTAACAGTCAGTCCCGGCTATCTTCTCTTCCTTCAAGTTCTGTGCCAGGAATAATGTGATATATCTCAGCTATAATTTGAACCATTTTATGCAACGTCAACACAACTTTGATCATTGGGACGGGGGGAGGGGGGGATGTCTGCCTGTTCTGGCCAATCCAGACTGAGATTAATACAGCATCCCAGCAGGCAGACGAACATACTAGATACAAACCCAAAATAAATATTTTTTAAAACAGCAACAAAAAGCAAAAAAAAAACAACCCCAAACAAACTAACCAAAAAAGACAACACCAAAACAGAAAAAGAGCTACTACACTGGATTCGAACTCATGATGTGTTCAGTGTAGAATGGTGAAAATTTCCTGCACACTACACCACCCCAAATGGATGTGACCTGTAGCAGCCAACCGGTGTTAGTTTTAAGCGATAATATAATATTTATATTGGTGGACAGGGGATGACCCCCCCCCTTCCATGGCCTTCTCTCTCTCTC